AGAAATATAAAGGAAAAATCTTTAAAAATCTTCTTCTCAAGAACAGCAAAGCCATGATGAGTTATATTTATATGGAAGCATCCTCAGGTAGTGTAGATTCAAATTTGTTCAAATCATGACCCCCGGGGGTTGGGTGGGGCCACAATGGATGATCAACGTTTTACATAGCAATACATAGGAAAAACCTTTAAAAATCTTCTTCTCAGGAACAGCAAAGCCATGATGAGTCATATTTATATGGAAGCATCCTCAGGTAGTGTAGATTCAAATTTGTTCAAATCATGACCCCCGGGGTTTGGGCGGGGCCACAATGGAGGATCAAAGTTTTACATAGCAATATATAGGATAAACCTTTAAAAATCTTCTTCTCAAGAACAGCAAAGCCATGATGAGTCATATTTATATGGAAGCATCCTCAGGTAGTGTAGATTCAAGTTTGTTCAAATCATGACCCCCGGGGGTAGGGCGGGGCCACAATGGAGGATCAAAGTTTTACTTAGAAATATATAGGAAAAATCTTATGAATCTTCTTCTCAAGAACAGCAAAGCCATGATGAGTTATATTTATACGGAAGCATCCTCAGGTAGTGTAGATTCAAATTTGTTCAAATTATGACCCCTGGGGATAGGGCGGGGCCACAATGGAGGATCAAAGTTTTACTTAGAAATATAAAGGAAAAATCTTTAAAAATCTTCTTCTCAAGAACAGCAAAGCCATGATGAGTTATATTTATATGGAAGCATCCTCAGGTAGTGTAGATTCAAATTTGTTCAAATCATGACCCCCGGGGGTTGGGTGGGGCCACAATGGATGATCAACGTTTTACATAGCAATACATAGGAAAAACCTTTAAAAATCTTCTTCTCAGGAACAGCAAAGCCCTGATTGATCATATTTATATGGAAGCATCCTCAGGTAGTGTAGATTCAAATTTGTTCAAATCATGACCCCCGGGGGTAGGGCGGGGCCACAATGGAGGATCAAAGTTTTACATAGAAATATATAGGAAAAATCTTTAAAAATCTTCTTCTCAAGAACAGCAAAGCCATGATGAGTTATATTTATATGGAAGCATCCTCAGGTAGTGTAGATTCAAATTTATTCAAATTATGACTCCCGGGGATAGGGCGGGGCCACAATGGAGGATCAAAGTTTTACTTAGAAATATAAAGGAAAAATCTTTAAAGATCTTCCTCTCAAGAACAGCAAAGCCATGATGAGTTATATTTATATGAAAGCATCCTCAGGTAGTGTAGATTCAAATTTGTTCAAATTATGACCCCCAGGGGTAGGGCGGGGCCACAATGGACTATCAAAATTTAACATTGAAATATTTTGGAAAAATCTTTAAAAATCTTCTTCTCAGGAACAGGAAAGCCCTCATTGGTCATATTTATATGGAAGCATCACCAGGTAGTGTAGATTCAAATTTATTCAAATTATGACCCCCGGGGGTAGGGTGGGGCCACAATGGAGGATCAAAGTTTTACATAGAAATATATAGGAAAAACCTTTAAAAATCTTCTTCTCAAGAACAGCAAAGCCCTGATTGATCATATTTATGTGGAAGCATCCTCAGGTAGTGTAGATTGTATTGTTCAAATCATGACCCCTGGGGGGTAGGGTGGGGAAACAATGGAGGATCAAAGTCTTAAATAGAAATATATAGGAAAATATCTTCTTCTGAAGAACTACAAAGCCATGATCATAAGTCATTTTGATAAGGAAGCATCCTCAGGTATAGTGTAAATTCAATTTTGTTCAAATGATGACCCCTGGGGGTAGGGTGGGGCCCAATGGGGGATTGAAAATTTTACATAGGAACATATAGGAAAATATCTTCTTATCAAGAACTGAAAATCATGTTAAGTCATTTTGATATGAAAGCATCCTCAGGTAGTGTAAATTTAATTTTGTTCAGATGATGACCCCCGGGGCAGTGGTGTATCCAGGAATTTCATAAAGGGGGGGGGGGGGCAGTAGAGGCATTGGGTCTGGGGGCTGCATTGAAGCCCCCAGTGGGTCTAGAGCAAGGCCCTGGTGGGGGTCCGGGAAGCTGATGAATTCTTACAAAGAAGAGATGTTTTTTCCTTGATTTTAGGATAATGGACATATAAGTTCTATATAAAAAAATTAAAACGGGGGGTGCATGCCCGGCTTGCCGGCCCTGGATCCGCCTTTGCAGGGGTAGGGTGGAGCCCAATGGGGGATCGAAAGTTTTACATAAGAACATATAGAAAAAATATTTCTTCTCAAGAACAGAAAAACTATGTTTAGTCATATTGATATGGAAGCATCCTCAGGTAGTGTAGATTCAAGTTTGTTCAAATGATGACCCCTGGGATAGGGAGGAGCCACAATGGGGGATGATATTTTTACAAAGGAATATATGGGAATTTTTAAAAAAAATCTTTTCAAGTACAACAAAGCCATTTGTTAAATTGACATGGAAGGTTCCAGATGTTTAAAATTCAAGCCCCCCCCCCCCCCCCCAAGGTAATATTTTCAATACTGAACTGATTTGTACTTTTGCCTAACCAATGTGCTCAGGTGAGCGATGTGGCCCATGGGCCTCTTGTGATATGAGTGAATCAGGGGGGAGAACTCATTTTCCAGTGTATAATAATGATACCCAGACTGTTTGTTTTTGTGAACTAGAAGTATACAATATCATTTTACTTATAGGCCAGAGTTGGATTTGAAGTGTAATTTTTGTTTGTTAGTTGACTGCATGAAGTTTACTGTATAAGCAGGATTAATTTTGCCCCCTGTTATTTTTGCACAATGTCATATTTAATTGTTGCCCTCCATCACACTTGTAAACATACAGTTTCTGTCCATTTTATATTTGCTCAGACACAGTTGTGTTAATTAAAAGAAAGATAAAAAATTTCTGATTGAATTCTGCACCCACTGATGGTGAGAGCAAAAATAAAAGGGGATGAAAATACCCTGTATACAGTAGTACCAATAGTGACCCCTATGTCAAATGTAGAATGTTCAGTCTGTGTTTTGAAATGGATTTGCAATGCTATATGATGCTATATATATATATATATATATATATAGATATGGATATATATGCAGTAAAATTTGGTTATGTAGAACTCTCCTATAAAGAAATGTCTGTTATAAGGAAATTTTTATGAATCTGGTAGAAAACTTTTCACTTCCTTCTTTTGATAGCCTAGGATATAATCTTTGTTATAGTCCCAGTGACTTTCTTATAACCAAGTTTTAATGTAATAAAGCAAGAAATTAAGGACAGTCAAAATTGGAAGAAATAGATGAAGCAGCTATCTTTAGGACCGTAGAGTGTATTTTTATTTACCACATACTGTAAAAGTACTTTTTTTTTACCATGGGGTCATAATTCTGCAGAATCACAATATGTGTTCAATCCATGGGTAAAAAAAATTACACAGATTTCTTGGACCAGTTGTCATTGTATTTCTTAGATATTTTTTTAGTATGCTGTGACAAATTTCCGTTGAAAATTTGTGACCGCATGCGTAGTGAAAATTAATCCCACGTGGAAAAAGTACGTCTACAGTATACCGAATTACATTTGTATACTACATTGTATTTACAAGGAAATGGAATTGTCTTTGTAGCTGTCTTTGGAAACAGGGAATAATGATTTACTGGTAAATTAACAAATTTTAAAGAATTAAGGATTCATATTAGAAATATGAATAATGCAAAGACTTTATCATCTTTTTGCATGCATGACTGTATTTGAGAACAGTTTAATAAGGTGAAACTCCCTTGACAGTTTTTATTTCATGGCCTCACGTGAAGTCCTTATTGAATGTGGATATCATCAGAAAGGACATGATTTAAGTACTAGTAGCTGCTGTTGAGCCGATCAATGTGAGGTCCATTGTATTCCCTCCAAGCTGTGTCCCTGAATCATATATCAACACTTTTTCTCCTCGTACCCCTGATTTTGTAACAGAAAGACAGAATTAAAATCCTTTCTGTCATCTCCAGACCATTTCCAATTGTTATGTAAAAATATACATTCACATGCATGCATCATAAAAGTTATTTCGTCAGTTGCATGTTCATAGTTAAGGCATATTAGTTAAGCTCTGCAACTCCAAGCCTTTTATGCATCTTCAGGATAGTATAGAAGATGAGCTTGTTGGATAGTACTGCTGATCCTATGGGGACGTCTTTCGAGGGTTTGATGATTTATTGTACTACTTAGTTCTAATGGTTTGACATTTAATTATTTATCGACTTTTATTTGAGAGCTTTCCTATGATAAATTAAGCTAGGTTGTTTTGTCTAATCTCCAGGTGTCAAGAGTATTACAGTCACAATTGTTGGGTGTTTTTTGCTGAGTAGTATGAAATTATTTAAGGCTGTTCTTATTGACCTGGGTATAAAATATATCTGCCTTTTATGTACAATGTAAACATACTGATTTTTATATATGTATGAAAGAATCAATTAATGCTTGAAGTTCTTTCAAATACAGTACGTTCCTTTGCATACTTAAGATATTACAAGTAATTGAAATGCAAATAATCATAAATTTGTCAAATTTACCAACAGTAATTCTGTACTGTTTTGATTCAGGGTGCATGTGAATTATTTCTAATAATATTCTCAATGATCAGGATCACGACAATTAATAATGCATAATTATTTATTTCTACTCCAACTTAACGATCTATAACTCCAAATGACTTGGTAAAGTGAAAAGTAACGATGTATATCTGATGAACATATAAATGAGTGCAGTTGTTGTGAGTACAACAATATTGCATTTATTGTTCATACATGCCTTTCTAATTCTGCTTTGTATTGCAGCACTATTGTAAGTATATTATGTCTATTGTTTGAATCTCTCTTTCATAAAATGTACACATCGATCATAATTCCATGTTATCCATTGCAGTGTTGACTATAACATGTATAAGGCACTATAGCCTTTCTGCAGTTCCTCACCCTATTCTTGGTCTGTATAACTCTTTGTTGTTCATTTCAGTGCCGACAGAGGCGCTTGCCTTCCTGGGAGCAGTCGCCCTATTCCTTGCCCTACTCGTCATCTTCTTCTGCTACTTAAACAAGCTCCTCTGTTTCTCCTCGTGTGGGGGCTTCCCTTGTCTGGAAAATCACCCCAAGAAACCCAGAAAAAAGAACGATTTAGGTAAGTCTATACTGTTGTGTGTAATGATATATAGTAATCAAGAAAATTTTTTTGCCTTTAGATTAAATTTATAAGAATTTCTTTTCCTTTTTTTTCAATTTTAATTTGGCTTTCAGTGGTGTTCGGATAGTATAAACCTGAAGCTATCTATATATATTAATAAGACCCTTTGATATTTACACGTTGGCAATAAGAGTGAAAAACGTAGTTACATGATGTTTTCCCTGGAGACAGTTTTGTTGAAATTTAAGGTACAAGGAAAATCTTTATTGGTTATACACAGAGATTACAAAGTAGAGCATTGATTGATTCAGCTTCGATAAATGAGACATAAAAATCCACATGAAAAACACCTCATTAGGACAGAGATAAACCTGAGAAATGTTAGCCCTTAGTTTTACAGGGGAAAGTTTATTAGATGCCTGTGTTTTTTTAAGTTGTTTTTTTTTTCTTGGATTTTGGATTTCACAGAATTAATTTTAGAATTTCAAGTGACATATTTTGAAAATCCCTCCTCATAAAATAGATATAATAGATGTCCTTGTGTAGGTTTTTGCTTCCTGAATATTTTTTTTTTATTCAGAAGCATTGAAAATCATTAAAAAAAAAAACAATCGTAACCCTAATATATAGTACACTAATAGTTGTTAAATCTTGTGCACTTTAAACTTGTGCACTTTAAACTTGGTAAGAAGATTATGAATTTACCTGAAGACAGCCACTAGCTCAGGTACAAAGAGTGTCAGCAGTAAATAGGAGGGGGAAATTGAAATATCTTTAGTAATGATGGTACGTTTATATACATGGTTGAGCTGAATTAATACATGTGTATCCTATTTTGTTGGGCAGTTGAAATTTTAACTAATTAAAAAAATTTAAATTTATTTCAATTATTTTTTCTGGATTTACATTAATTGTTTGATTTGATTTTTTTTTTTAAAGTAATCTTTGCATTATCATGTGATAACAATATTTGTAATGGAGCATTCATGTTGCGGGTTGCTAAAGGAAGATATCTCAGTTTTTCCACAAGGAAAGATAACTCCCACTATGGAGACTATTTTTCAAGTTGATTAGTCAGATTAAGATTCATTGTCCATTTGTTGTCTCATATAAAATTTTGCTCAAATGCATTAATTTTCTAAAAGAAATCTAATATATAATTGAAATGCACACACAATTTTAGCGTACCCTGAAGGGCAAAAATTGACAGATGGTTTCATTTTTCTTTCAATTACAATTTTATGAAGGAGTACATGTACTTATCACACTGAGAGTTAACTCTCTTATTAGAAGGTAAGTTAACCTTAAAGGAAATTAAAAAAAATCGAAATAAAAAAAATTTAGACCTCAGTTATGGGTGTAATAAATTAAACTTAGAAATCACAAAGAAAAATTAGTGATGGCATGATCTGAATTGTTTCACCACTGAATTCAAGGACATTTTTAGGTTTCCATTGCTTAATAATAATAATAATAATAATAATAATACTTTATTTATAGAAGGTAACCTGATTAGTGCAAGCACTAGTCTTCCTCAGGGCCTTCTTTATAACACATATACAATGTATATATACAATAAACACAAATCACAATTATGAGATAATAAAATATAAACACTATGTTACAACAGAATAAATAAAATCATCAAAGCTTAGTTCAAAATGTGAAAAGGAGGGGGGGGGGGGGGGGAGGAAATCACATATTTTCACGTAGAACTAGTACGTTTCGTAAGTAAAAAATTTTCAACACTACTTTTAAATATTGCAAGGGATTGGGATTTCCTGATACTTATAGGTAACTCATTCCAGATAATAACCCCTGAATATTGTAAAGAATTTTTAAATAAATTTGTTTTGTATTTTGGTAAACGAAGTTCGGAATTTGTTTCTGAGCGCAACGTATATGATCCAGAACTTTGAAATTCAAAAAAGTTATGCATATAATCGGGAGACATACCATGAAATGTTTTGAACATTAGAATGCTTTTCTGTAAATAAAGAAGTTCATGAACCGTTAACCAGCCTAAAGTGTTAAATAAAGGCATTGAAGGTGCATCATATTTTTCATTTAAGATAATCCTTGCTGCACGTTTTTGAAGTCTGTAGATTCTGTCGATGTGCGTTTGAGGAGAGTTACCCCAAATAGATAAACAATATAAAATTGATGGTAAAATAAAAGCGTTATAAAATAGTTTTCTAGTATGCAGTGGAAGAAACTTTTTAATTTTTCGTAAAGTAAATAATTTATATGTAAGAGTTTTGCAAACTGCATCTACATGACAAGTATATTGAAGAGTATGATCAATGTGAACACCTAATAATTTCTGCATTTCCACATTTTCAAGGGGATGACCGGAAAGTTGTAAATGAAGACTAGTGTTTTCTAATTTTGATTTCTTTTGTTGTGTGCCCATTAACATACACTTTGTTTTATCGGTATTCAAAAGCATCTGATTTTGTTGACACCAGTTTTGTATTTGATAGAGGTCATGATTAAGAGTTGTTTCAATACGTGAAATATTGTTACCATGAAAATGCATTGTAGTGTCATCAGCAAACATATCAATATTACAATGTTCAACAGACAATGGTAAATCATTAATGTACAATAGAAATAATAAAGGGCCTAATATAGAGCCCTGTGGCACACCTGCTGTAACTGGCAGTGATTCAGATGTGTATGCACCTATTTTAACACTTTGAGTTCGATGATATAAATATGATTCAAACCAATTAATTGATATTGGATCAAAGTGATAGCATTTAAGTTTTCTAATTAGTATATCATGATTAACAAGATCGAATGCTTTGCTAAAATCCAAGTAAGTAATGCCAATGAAATTTCCTTGATCTATTGCATGCAGCCAATTATCAGTTAGTTTTGTGAGAGCTGTCTGGCATGAGTGAAATTCTCTAAATCCTGACTGTGCTTTCATTAATAAATCGAAGTGAGAAGTAAAGATGCGTATATTTTCTGCTACATGCTTTTCTAAAACTTTCGATATAGTTGGTAAAATTGAAATTGGGCGATAGTTTCCTGGGTCTGATTTATCACCCTTTTTAAATAGAGGAGTTACTTTTGCGACTTTTAGCTGTGAAGGAAAAGACCCCTTGATTATGCTAGAATTTATTAGATGTGTTAGAGGTTTTGATATTATACTAGCTGAAAGTTTAAGCAATCTAAGTCCAAGAAAGTCTATGCCAGCAGATTTGTTTACATCTAGACTCTTTAACATATTAAATACTTTTTCTTCATTAATCAAAGGAATTTCAAAAAAGTCTTGATCTCCAAGTTTTGCCTCAGTGTATCTTTTCAATTTTTCTGAATCAAAAGTAGTAAATGAAAGATTGTTTAATAATTTTCTTGGAATTTGTGCAAAATGTTCATTAAAAGCATTTGCAATATCCTGTAAATTATCAAGATCTAACCCGTTATATGTTATATTGGAAGGGGATGAGTTTTTGTCTGATTTTGAGGCCAGCTGATTTAAGTGACCCCACATTTCTTTTGACGTAGAACTATTTTCAATTACTTTCTTATAATATGTAGATTTTGCATCATTAATTAAAATTGTGACTTTGTTCCTCCAAAATCTAAAATTTTCCATGTCTCCCTGTTTATGGTATTGATCTCGTAAATTCCTAGCATCATTTATTTCTGGAGTTAACCATTTAGTGCGAAATTCTGATTTAACACGCTTTGTTTTAACTTTTGCATGCTTATTAATTATAGCATTGAAAATATCATAGAAACAGTTTAAGATGTCATTTGGATCATGCAGTAGGATTAATTCATCAAAATTTGCATTGTTTAAATCAAGCAAAAATTCTGTTTCATTAAAATTTTTAAAGTCACGATATTGTATTTCAATATGTTTGTTTTTACGTTTCATGCTGTTAGAGCTTCGTGTGGCACATATTGGATAATGATCAGACATTGCTACAGGGGGTACTGCTATTTCACATATGTTAGCAGGGTGCGTAGTGTAGAAATGGTCAATGAGAGTTTTAGAGTTATTGGTAATTCTTGTTGGGGTGTTAATTAATTGTGTTAATCCAAAATCTACAATTGCAGATGACCAACTCCGCGGGGGGTCTTTGAGCATATCAATATTGAAATCACCTGCAATAATCACTTCCTGGTCATCACAGCAGGTAGCACACTGTAACTCTCTTACAAAATCATCAACCCAGCAGGAGGGGACAGATGGTGGACGGTAAACTGAACAATAAAGTATAGGCTTAGAATTTCTAAGATTAATTTCAAGCCACATTGTCTCAATATTGCTAATTTCTAAATCCTTACGGCGTTTATACTTCAGATCATTTGAGATATATGTAACAAGTCCACCACCACCCCTTCCTACTCTGTCTTTTCTTTCAAAAGAATATCCTTTTATATTTATAACACAATCATTAATATTTTCATCTAGAAAGGTTTCACATAAAGAAAATATGTCAACGTAATGCTGATCTTGTAAATACAAAACCAATTCATCTAATTTTGGTAAAATGTGACACACATTCAAATTGACAAAATGTAGACCCTTTTTCATTAAAGCAATATTTGATTTACATATATTTTGTTTTTCTTCATTTTGAGTATTTGGCACTGGGGGAGAAATTGTAGGGTTTTGTTTAAAATTTGAAAAAGTGTTTTTCTTATTTATACATGCATCTACATGTTCAGATGTAAAATTTAAATCATTTGAGTAATTATTAGATAAAGGACATCTGCAAATTGGTTCATTACAATCAAAACAGAGATTATTTAAAGGATCAAAATAATTATTGACATTGATAATTGGACAGTTTTTCGTATTATCGGCACAACTTTCATTGCCGCGATCCTATTTGGTACAGAACTTCTGCTTGTGACCTTGATCACCACAGTACCAACAAACAACTTTGTTTCCATGTCGGCAGTTACGCGAGGAATGACCTTGCTCTCCACAATAATAGCATGTCTGCACAGATGAGGGTCGTTGTTGTTTAAGA